CTAAAAGAAAAAGGCATCTCGTGTAGAGAGTGCAATGAATTATCACGTACCTTCCCTCCTGCTTCATGCACACATACTATGCCAACTGCGTGATCCCAAGCCTACAAGACGATAATTGAATAAAATTTTAATTGATTGCAAGTGAAATGTTACTGAGAATTTAAAATAAATTTAATAAAATACCTTTATACTATTTTGCACTTTTGTTCGAAGAATGAAGACTGATGCCCTACCAGAGGCCACCATCATATATTTGCACAAACTGCATATAAGCAGAAAAATGGATCATGCACGTGCCATGAAAATCAACCAATCAGGGAAAAGATGCAACTCATTCTAACAGGAACCAGAACCCTTGTTTCTTCAACTGATATCTTGGTTCCAATGAATAATTACAGATTTGCCAACTTTCAGATATTTATTTTCCAGGCAATTCCTATTGTATATAGTTCTATATAAAAACACTGATCTTTGAGACAGTATCTGAAAACGAAATGTAAAACAGATGGATCACATAAAAAAAAAAAAGGACAGTCCTAGCACTTTATCAGGCCTAAGGGGATAGTGCCGATTCTAATTTGTATATGCATTGAAGACATGGAATTGGAATCAAGATGCTGCTGTTACTGAAAGAAAGAGCACGTGACAAAGCACCAACCAAGTCCCTACATTGTGTTTGGTTCGAACTTATTTTATTTTCATTTAATTTCTAAATTTTACATTATTTGAGATATAAAATTAATTATAATTTACACATTTAATACATAATTAAGTGAACTTTATTCATATCCTCATTTCTAAATTCATGAATTTGTATTTTCGCTTATAAAAGAAGGAACTACAGAAACATGGAGATGACGTATAATTTGAACTAAACATGGAGTTGACTTAAAATATTAACGTAATTTTCTATCATTTTTATATTATATTTCTATTATTGTTATTACACAATTGAAATTTAAACACTGGAGCCAAACTATGAACTTAGAAGAACGAATTTTCTGAGTTTAAAAGACCTTAAAAATAAGTCAGCTTGTGAAAATAAACATCTTAAATGTAAGCTTTTACTTCATATCCACGTGCTTAGAAATGCATAAACTGGAATGTATATTTATACTTGATGAAAAGATACTAAACCTGCCGCAACATGTGGGCAAGAGAGAAATTTCTTTATCCCATATTGTCACGGTCAGTTCTGCAGTGTATAAGCTGATAGTGCATGACTCCATG